GATGCTACGGATAATTCCGCCGCCAGTTCTGGTCAAAGTTCTCCTACAGAATTATTGAGCATGGATACTTCACTCATTTCATGGTTTTCTCCTCGACGGTACACATCAGCTGGAAAGGATCAAGCTGCTAAACTTAAGCGTCTGAACACACGTAAAATTGAGTTCGACTTACAAGAATTGAGCCAATCAGTGGATCGTGATGTCTCCCAAATGACCACAGAGTCACTAATGGTAAGTTTCTCAAAGTTTTGTCCACTGTTTTTATATCGTATAGTGTAGTCGCATGCATAAGCATTTTAAGCTGAAAATAATGTTTATCCATCTTGCGTTTAAGAGTGAACATCGGTCCTAGTCAAGAGATATAAGAGCTGCACTGGAACTGGTAGAAGAGGTATATCATCTTTTATCCTTATTACTGTTATCCTGGTATTCCACTTTCATACTTATAACAGATAATATTTTGACAAACAGTATTGTTAAGAAATGCACTTGTACTCAACAGAACGCAACACCTGGCATCAACAAAAGTAGGATGTGGGTGGTCACTAGGAGTTCAGGCTGTCACGAGACAGCACTGTCTGAAGCAACATTTTGTTTTCGTAATGGTGACAAATTGCACTTCAGTGACCTCGGTGCGTTTACATACTTCGGCGGCAGAGCATTCCGTAGAAGCTTAGCCACCCAAGCTTCGCGATCGACTAAATCGATGCTTTTTTCTGAACGATGTATGAAGCTGAACTCGAGTAATTAGCGCAGCGTGAAGACTTGATCGATACCTGGTCGAAATCCTTTTTGTTTTTCACAGATATTAGTCTCCTGTCGGACGTCAGCGTATGGCAAAGGCAAAGAAAGCGGCAAATCCCGACCGCCCAGGATCGAACTAGGACTAGGTGGCGTCTGCAGCGTTAGCTGACGAAGGGCCTCTTGACAGCCTGTGAGAACTGGTGAGAAACAATAGCTAGTGAAATGGAAGTAGCAGCTACATCGGGGAAGTCGAAGACCGTTGAAACTGACACGCAACACTAGAGGTCGGTGAACCACAGTTGGTGGAACAATGTGACAATGGTGGAAAAGCCTGACCTGTTACGCGGAGTACTTCAAAGAACAGCTGGCCAGTCGCTAACCAAACTATACCGTCTGTTGTAGCAGAGGCTCCTAGGGCAGTGTCATGTGAATGTTCTACTGAAGCAGAAGTACGATCTTGCATCCAGGCCCTGAATAAAGGAAAAGCAGCATAACCTGACGGGCTTCCTATCACTCTTCAAGACAGGGGAGTAAAGCGAGCTTCACTGATCGCTGCCAAACTAGCAATGCATGCAAGGCTAGTGGTAATATTTAAGGTGGGCAGATTGTTATATTCGAGAAATGCGGAGTAATGCAGAAGAGGTGTCTGGCCGTATATAGGTTTTAATCTTCTAACAATCGTAGTACAAAAGCTACAACGTGAAATAAGAGAGCTAATAAAGTTCCATGTGAAATAGGGTAACGCATCAGTTTATGACAGAGATGGGACCTATTTTGAGGGAGAGAGAAGAAGGTGAACCTCTATGGTCAACACACAGAGTGCACAATCGAACTCTGCATACACACCGTTTCAAGCATTTTGGCCTGATCAGAAATGGCAACAATAACGCCACTACTCTGTTTGCTGCCAAATCCTTCGATGTCTCCAACCAACCAGTTGCGGAGTCATTCGGACCCCAACATGGAAGACGCGAGATACTTACTCTACCTAATGGCTCTGTGCATTTCTTCATGCCTCGTCTCCACGTCATCTGTTGACCTCCACGGATCGGCTACAGCGAATAAAGCGCGATGTAGCAGACGGTAGCTGGACATACGCAATACGTGCCGTAGCCAGCGAAGTCTACTAATCGTTTTTTTATTACACATATATTTGTATGGTGAGCAGCAGACGGAACGAACCCCATAGTCACGAAGACCTGCTCCGTCATGGAAACCGGTAACCTAAGCCCCGTGACTTGGAGTGACGAACCACATAAGGCCCCGATAAGTTAGGCGTGGTATTGAACCAGACGGCAGATTTGCTGTCTACCACCTAAGTTGGGTGGCGGTGGCGGTGGCGGGTCTCGAACCTCGGACCAAAGGGTCAAAAGCACGCTTGACAGAAATTAAACCACTGCGCCACCACCACTCGATGTGCTAACAGCTTTATACCTGATACAAATCCAAAGACACGATGGCTTACCTCCGGATTACTAACCCGTTGGCTCCATCCCACGTGGACTAAACTGCGTAAACACAATAATCGAAAAGTTATAGTTTGTGAATGACTTCTACCCACAAATTTAAGGTATCACAACCAGAAAGCAGAATCAAACGGGCGCTAGCAAAATATACACGTCCTTTCAACTTCAATGGACATCGCGTCTACGCCATAGGTGTTTCAGTTCTGCGTATGCTGCTCGAGCTTTTGAACTGCGGGCATTTATCTCCTTTACTGCGCTACCGTCATTGGTCACACAACTACCTAAGTAGGAAAAATGATCCACCATAACTAAGTCCATCTGACCCTCTAAGGTGAATTGCCAGTGGTTCACTGACTCGGTTATAGCCCCGGATAATGGCTTTTCCTCCATTTACTTTGGTGGGATCAGTTTGATCCCAATCGTCACCAAAGTACAGTGCGATTGCTCCATTTCATATGGTTTTGTCTCGCTCGCTCGTGACCTCTAACAATGAAATTCCCTCTGACCCTCTAAGCGATCTGATTGGATCTTTTCCCACGATTTTCGCAACTTGGAATCTTTCAACCTGACACGAGACTGTCTGGTCACCGACTCATAATGTTTGCGATGCTCTTGTTGCCACCTGTAATCCAGCCGTGTGACGATGGCACTTCTGCTGTGCATTGTCGAAGCTGACTGGACATGCTAAATATTTGAGGTTGTAGACAAAGTGTGTTCTCGCTCGGGATAGGTGGGCAAGCATCACGTCTTTTGTTGCAGCTTAACCGTCAGACCGGTCACTGAAGTAATCCCATCAGTCGTGTGGTTGTCAAACGTACACAAGAGGAAAGGTTATGAATTCTGTGCTATTTAAGCTTTGGTAGGGAATCCCCATCGGATAATCAGTTACGGAGTGATGCACCATCCGGGAAATTCGGAATGGGAAATGTTTATGCGATGATNTATTTGAGGTTGTAGACAAAGTGTGTTCTCGCTTGGGATAGGTGGGCAAGCATCACGTCTTTTGTTGCAGCTTAACCGTCAGACCGGTCAATAAATGAACCCAATCAATCGGGATTTGCGGAACCGCACAGTGCCATAGTGAAGACCAAAAAATTCATGATGAACAAGATTGCAAGGATACTGGGTAGTAGTAGTAAAAGCACTCCACGGAGAATCAGTTGTGGAGCAATGTGCCACCTGGGAAATTCGGAATGAAAAAATGTTATGCGATGACACTGACAACACTTGATGGGTCTAAGACACGCTGTTCTCGCTTTGGACGACCTGGATAACTGTCAGTGATGGATTGTTTGAGAAAACACAAATAAGGAAAAAAGATATTTCTCCGATGAAAGGTGTTCAATATTTTTTCCATCCTGTTCCTTGCAGCAAAATGCGACGAAGAAAGCTTCCTTCCAATTTCAGAAAAGTACACCGCAGAATACTTTCTCCATACGCGATGACTCTTCTTAGCAGCTCTTTAATCGTTCCTCACAAAAAGAAAGCCTGTATGAGGAGGTGATGACTTGCGCGCCTCAGTGACCCTGCGAGCTATACAGGATGGCTCCTCACAGCCGCAGATCCAATCATGCCTGAAAGGCCAACGGGTAGAGGCCAGACGAAGTTCAGTCTCACAAGGCCAGCTGCTNGCGGAGCCTTACGTAGTTCGTCACTCCATGTCCCGGGACTTGGGTAACCGGTTTCTGTCACTGAACAGGAGGTCCTCCGGACTATGGGTTTTATCCCTCTGCTGTTCATCACACTAAGGTGCGTAATAAAAAATCTTATGATTCAACTTAAGAACCGAAGATGTCAAGGGTATGGGCGAAAGCGGAAACCTGGACAAGTGCCTGACAGCTGAAGAATTATACTTGTCGGCACGTTAGTTTAGACTTTGCACGACTTTAGCAGCGCGGAGATTATCATTCCGTTGGACATACTTTTAACAGGGCAGCAGTAATTATAAATGAAATTAATTGTTTGTCCGAAGAGGATGGCATAAGTCGAAAGAGCCAAAGGAAGTGATAAAAACCATCAAGAAGCCAGTTCTGCTTCATCGTCACCCTTCATCGGCGGAAACTAGAGTCCGTACTTTAGACAAGTCTAATGTTCAAATATGATATCTGTTTGACTGTGAACAATCTTTGACTTTAATTGTGATATCCTTTTCCGGACCATTGAAATGCAAATTAGGACTAGTTAGAGAGAGGAGTATCAGCTCGTGGAGTACGATGATCCGGTACACTTGGATAGGACACACCAAAAACAGTATTCTCGGCAACATTTAGGGATCTCAATTCTTGTTAACTTTACAGAAATCTTGCACCTCATCCTTTCAGTTCAGTTTGGACAACCATTAACCATGCACTTTCGTGCGCCGGTTTAGGTTGCTGTCTTTTGGCTGCCCATTTGGATGAAGAATAGAAGAAGAAAGGAAAGTTGAAAGTGGATTCGAAAACAAAATGGAGAAGTTCAGTGGACTAAGCTTGCAAAGAAATTGAGAAGATGCAAGAACGCCACTGTTTACGACACCCAGCCATATCGCT